GGGGCGAATAGCCACACCTAGCCACATGCGTTATCTGGCCCGTGTGACCGGGGCCATTAATAATCAGTGAATAATCAGATGAGAAAAGGAACCAGTAGGTATAAGGCTTGATTGGTTTGTTAAAGTTTAACAGAAATAAATAATCAGTGAAACAGATAGTGATGTGCTTAACCATTGGTCCTGGTCAGCTGGCCTCAGGCCTCTAAGTACAGTATAATATAGCAATTAACTACTTCTTAAAAAGAGAGAACCTCCTGGCCATAGATAACCAACATAATATTGCGAACTATCTTATTTAAATTTTTAAATTATCCATAAAATATTCATTGCTCATAATATGTAGTTAGTACAAAGAAGTGTCCCTATTTTGAAAATGCACATTTTTTGTAAAATATTCTATTTTATGCACATCTAGCAAATCTGAGGAGTTGTCAGTGAGCATGATCTGGGGACCCCTTACTCATAAATAGTCCCTGTTAAGTGAAGAGGACTACTGGCGAGCATTAAAGCAAACATTGGTTGCTGTATTGGTCCATAGTGCAATCTAAAACGAAAATTTATTAGGATTAATTACAATGACACAAGGTAGTGGAGAAGCTGAAGAACTTGGATGCTTATACAATAGGTTGTGCTGTTTTGGTTGATCCTAATAGAGGTATGACGTGGATTTTGGCTTTGGGTATTGGAAAGCATAGGAGCTGCGGTGGCAAACATTGGTTGCTGTATTGGTCCATAGCGCAAACTAAAACCAAAATCTACATACCCTGTTTCCCCGAAAACAAGACCTACCCCAAAAATAAGCCCTAGCAGGATTTCTATGCATTTGTGGTATAAGCCCTAGTGTGTCTTCTTGAGAAAAAATAAATATAAGACAGTGTCTTATTTTCGGGGAAACACAGTAATACCTTTTATTAGGATTAATTACAATAACACAAGGTAGTGGAGAAGCTGAAGAACTTGGATGCTTATACAATAGGTTGTGCTGTTTTGGTTGATCCTAAGAAAGGTATGACATGGATTTTGGCTTCGGGTATTGGAAAGCATATAAACAATTAAAAAGGTTTGCTAACTCAGAACACACCAATCTGTCTCTGTGGAGTGTATGAAGCCATTTCTGCCAGCCCTTCCCTTTACATTAATTTTTAATAAATCGATAAAAGTGATGTTCACTGGTATTTCTAAAGAGAAGGGTACACAGGAAAAGCTACAAAATAACAAAGACCTTAAGGCTACATCTCTACAGCTACAGGACAGACCAACCACACGGTCTCACAACAACATCTGTAGTGGAGATTCTTCTTTCTTCTTGACCCCTAGAAGGAAATCACCTGAATACATTAACCAATGATTGTGAGTAAACAGGCTTAGGTTTCCCGGGCTCTGTTTTCATTGGCTCTGGGCCAGATTTCCCATCCAGGTCAGTCTAAACAATAGCACACTAGGTAAACAGATTAACCCTATAATGACTGAATTAGACCGTGCAACACACACGTATTTCCAACAAAAACAACATTAAGCCAACTGGCCCAATCTGCAGCTAGCATCTGCTCCGCTGTTTTACCAAACCCACACTGGAACAGAAAAAGATGCAGCTCAAAACCACATTCAGATATCCCAGGCCAATGCCATACTGACTACGGAGTCACCCCTGAATGGCCATAAAACAGCCATAAATCTATGCAGATGGCTACCAAAAAAACGAGAGATCAAACGAAGTGAAAGCGGCATGCAGCCTGGACACGGCCGTAAAATCCGACAATCAATCAAAGTGAAAGTGGCATGCAATGTAGAAGGGAATTCCTGTTCCAGCGTGGGTTTGGCAAGACAGCGGAGCAAATGCTAGATGCAGATTGGGCATTGTGTATCACTCTGTGCTTTTACCTCCCTCCTGCTTCTTCCCTTTTGCAGAGGGTGATGAAGGGATCCTGGTTGAAAGCAGGATACCTGGTTATCCATAATGTATGAATGCAGGCACCCTGGTTAACCAGTATTAGTCCCTCATCCCCTACCCCATAAGCTGGTATTTTAAATCACAGTTTTATCCAGGCTTGGGAGAGACAGTCTCTGGTTAACCCAGGCACCTGCATTGCTAAGGTGCAGGTGCCTGGAGCATGTTTGAAACCCCAGTTCTTTCATCATGCTCCATGTGAGAAGAGGGGACAGAGGATAGGGCTAAGGGTGAATCATGTCCATACAAAGTCTCAGCTTAACATGGTGTCTAAATGCAGCTAAAGTGGCTTGAGTCTAGCTGTGAGGTGGCTTTATGGCAAAGGTGCGATTTCAACTAAGGACTATTGTTTAGATGCAAAACTACAATGCAAGTTAAATTATCAGTCCAAGTTAAAAAATAGCAGGCAGATCTTCTCCACTATCAAGATGACTGATTTTGATATTATGAAATATTGTGTTATCACTTGCTGATCAGTACACAAATGAGTAACATACTCCTTTTGTGTTCTTCTGATATCTCCTCTCCTATTACAGGCACCACTGCTTACCAAATGGAAAGGGCAGTTTTCCGTTCAACTTAATGTCACCAACCAGGCCGCAGTACTCTGGTATATGGACCGAGTGAGACTCTTGCAACAGAGAGTGGGAGCAGAGTATGTGGTTTTGGAAGGTAGTGAGGCCAACTTGTTTGTGGAGCAAGCCATCCAAACCCCTGTGGAACTCAAAGGGGACAAGTATATCTACATTTTAGCCTTAATAGCAGCTACATTGGGAAATTCATCAATAATGAGTGCTGGTACAAGGTGAGTCTTGGGGGGAGGGGATCGGATAATGATGTGTCAAGATGGGTAGCTGTGTCAGTTTGTAGCAGTAGAAAAGACCAAGGTGGAAACTGCATTTGTCTTTCCCACCAGTGTCCCAGCCTTTTGACCCCGTCTTCAAAAAAGCTGTCTAAATTTGGTGTCGTTTTCACACCTCAAGAGTGCTAGCATACTTTTGCACGTCCACATATGTTTATCGTCCTTTCGGGGCGGCTCCACTGCCATTGCACCTCCACACTGCTTCATAAGAATCTTCTCCAAACAACATTCAAACAAGTGTAGAGAAAGGCGGCGTCACAGCAGCACGAAAATGATTTTAAAATGCAAATGCAGATTCGGCCCAAGAGTCCAGTAGCACCTTAAAGACTAATAAAATTTGTGGCAGGGTATGAGCTTTCGAAAGTTCCCGAAAGCTCATACCTTGCCACGAATTTTGTTCGTCTTCGGTCGAATCTGTATTTGCATTTTTAAATCAGTTTCGTGCTGCTGTGACGCCGTCTTTCTCTATGCTTGTTTGAAAGTTGTTTGGAGAAGATTCATTTAAAATGTTGTGGAGGCACGATGACAATGGAGCTGCCGCGAGAGGGCAATAGACATATGCAGACGTGCAAAAGTATGCCAGCATTGTTGAGGTGCGAAACCAAAACCAAATGTAGACAGCTTTTTTGAAGACGGAGTCAGAAGGCTCGGACACTGGTGGGAAAGACAAATGCAGATTTGACCTTTAAGGTGCTACTGGACTCTTGCTCTTTTCTATTGATAATGATGTGCATCTCTAAGGCTTTCTTGTCATTACTATTTCACCAGGGGTGATCTTAGTGATACCTGGGCAAAAGTCCAGTATAGGGCTTCAGAATCACCGCCCGCACACAGCTGGATGGTTAGCTCCAGAGCCTCCTAGCAAAGATCCCAGAGCAGCTGCCTTGTTTGTCCTGTGGGTAAGACCACCCCTGTATTTCACTCCAGTGGGCAAGGCCAGAAAGGAATGAAAAGCTAGGGTTGCCAGCTGACTTGGAGAAGAACACATCGTCCTTTGAAAGAATCTTAAGGTGTGGAAATGGGCAACTGAAGCTTTCCATGGCACGGAGGTAAATAGGTGGGAAATATCCCATTTAGCCTCTATTAAAAGGATAGAGCATTTTTCTTTGGGTCAGTTGGCATCCCTAGTGAAAGCTCTTGCCATTGGCTAGTACTTATTTCAATCTATGCTAACAGCACTTTTGACTGGCCGCTATTCGCATACTCCAAAAGAGGACCGTCTCTGCATATGTGGCTGGTCAGTGGTGGAGGACCTTCCTCACTACATGCTCTACTGTCCGTTATAGAGTATCCCAAGAGAGAAATTCCTAGCAGGAATCCTATCGGCTATGCAAACATACGCAGAAACTGAGAAGATTACGTTCCTGCTCTCAGATAATGATGCATATGTATCTTATAGAGTTTCTTTGTTCGCTTTAGCAGCATCCAAAATTAGATCTAAGGGGCTGGTCACCTGATAAATCTGTTTTAGCCTTTTTATTAGCACGGTTTGTAGTCAATTTTAATCTGATTCGAATGGTGGTAATTTTTATTATTGCTATGGTGCCTTTTGTATTTTGTAATGGCCAATGGCTTAATACAATAAATTTACTTGTACTTGCTACTGTGGTGCAACTCGGCAAGTGAACTCAGAAGGCACTTAAAGAGACTGCAGTCTCTTTAAATGCCTTTCCCCCCTCCATTGAAATCAATGGGGGATGGGGGTACCTTCTTTGGAGGGCCATAGGCTTGGACCCCCCCCCCCTCCAATTGTTTTAAAACTTGGAGGGAGTTTTGAGGAGAGGCAAATTTGGTGCATCTACCTCAAAAAACAAATACACCTGGATCAGTTCTCCATTATACCCTGTGGTCCCCACAAGATATAATGAAGCAAAACCCCCACAAAAACCGGGGTTCCCAAATATTTCCTGAATCCGAATACAAACCAGTATTGGGATTCGGGAATATTGGGAAATACCGATCTTTTCCAGGTTCAATATACCCCACACACCCCTGATACTGATTGCTCTGTGTATTCTGAGGAAATCAGCCAAACTGAACAAAACTGAAATGTTACAGGCTAATTAAATAGGTTGGAGAAGTTATTTGACATTGTTTTGACCCATCAGTCATCAAGTCAGTTTTTGAAGTGTGGCTAATTGGAGATGCTAATTTTGACTATGCTGCCTGTTCTGATGCAGATGGCTCATTTAGACACACTGTGGCTGGCACAGGTCTCATACAGCTTCAGGGTTTCAGGCATGCTGAATCAGCACACCTGACTAACACAAAGCTCTCCCCCATGCTGTTTTGAGTGGAACTGGACTACAAATCTCCCAGTTCAGGCAGCACAATTATTCATGTGCTCAGGCCTTTAGATTATATCCGAACCATTTTAAAGGTACCCTAATAAGAATAATAAGAATAAGCTGCGGTGGCTCAAGTGGCTAAGACGCTGAACTGCAGGCTCTGGAAGGTCGGTAGTTCAGCAGTTCGAGACCCGGGTGCCGCAAGACAGGGTGAGCTCCCGTCTCTAGTTCCAGCTCCTGCCAACCTAGCAGTTCGAAAGCAAGAAATTGCAAGTAGATAAATAGGTACCACTTCAGTGGGAAGGTAACAGCGTTCCGTGCGCCTTGGTGTTTAGTCATGCCGGCCACATGACCACGGAAACGTCTTCGGACAGCGCTGGCTCTTCGGCTTTGAAACGGAGATGGGCACCGCAACCCTAGAGTCGGATTCGACTGGCTTTCGAGCAAGGGGACCTTTACCTTTTTAATAAGGAAAACATAGGAATCAAGCAAATTAAAATATCTGTCCTTCAAGGTCCATAGGGCAGCCTGCAAACTGTTACCCTATTTTTCCAAACAAAGAACACTCCCCCAACAACATCTGACAAAGAGGGCCCATGAGAGCTTATGTCACATGCTGTGTCGCAATAGGGTAGCTCAGCAGCCTCACTGGAATTTGTACCCATTTTATCTTTACAATTATTCTGTCAGTAAGCTATAGAAGAAGAAGAGAGAAGAGAAGAGATTGGATTTTATAGCCCGTGCTTTACCCAGAGTCTCAGAGCGGCTTACGAACTCCTTTCCCTTCCCCTCCCCACAACAGACACCCTGTGAGGGAGGTGGGGCTGAGAGAGCTCTGACAGAAACTGCTCTTTCCCAAAAACAGCTCTTATCAGAACTACGGCTTGCCCAAGGTCATCCAGCAGGTACAAGTGGGGAATCAAACCTGGTTCGCCCAGATTAGAGGAGGAAGAGGAGAAGTGATTGGATTTATACCCCACCCTTCACTACCCAAGGGGGTCTCAGAGCGGCTTACAAACTCCTTTCCCTTCCCCTCCCCACCACAGACACCCTGTGAGGTAGGTGGGGCTGAGAGAGCTCTTGACAGAAACTGCTCTTTTTCAAGAACAGCTGTGCCAGAACTATGGCTTGCCCAAGGTCATCCAGCAGGTGCAAGTGGAGGCTTACAAACTCCTTTCCCTTCCCCTCCCCACCACAGACACCCTGTGAGGTAGGTGGGGCTGAGAGAGCTCTTGACAGAAACTGCTCTTTTTCAAGAACAGCTGTGCCAGAACTATGGCTTGCCCAAGGTCATCCAGCATGTGCGAGTGCAGGAGTGGGGAATCAAACCTGGTTCTCCCAGATTAGAGTCTGCACACTTAACCACTACACCAAACTGGACACCAAGCTAGACAGAGACACAGGGACTTGCCTACTGTCACCCAGTACCTTGTGCATGGATCTGAGTTTTCATGTTCTAAGACCAATTGTCTGCCTACAGCAGCACTTTTATTCTTAATTAAATTATTTTGGGAAAATATTTTGGCTATTTGGATATCTGTTCCTTGCAAGCCTGCGTGCACCTGGCAGCTCAGCCGGAGAGGGTTTCCCTTCCATCTAGTCTGCATAGTACTGCTGTTATAGGCAGGGGTCATTTCATAGAAAAAGAGGTGCAGGAGCTCATTAGCATAATTCATTAGCATAACTTATTTGCATATGCCACACCCCCTGACATCACCGGAAGTGTGTCAGAAGGCAACACCCACCGCTCAGGCTCCACTGGACTGTTTTGGATTGCTAGCTATTTGGGGGGTGGGGGTGGAGGAATGTGCAGATCTGTCCGCGCAGAGGAGGGAGAGCTTGTACCTGAATAAAACTTGGTCTTAAAGGTGCCACTGGACTGTTTTGGACCGGGAGGCCGGGGGGTGGGGCCTCTGCAGCTTACCTGGCTGCTTCTTGCTCTGACTGAGGGCTGCTGGGAGCAGGGGGTGGGGCTTGTTGCATGTGCCCGCCCCCTGGGCTCTTTACTGCTGGAGCTCCGCTCCTGTGTGCTCCTGCAGGAAATGACCCCTGGTTATAGGGGAGACTCAGAAAAGACACCCTCGTTTTCCAGGAATGTGGCCCATCCTTTGAGTTATTTGCACCGGCAGTACAGGAAGAGCTGGGCCAGCTGCCACATGGACATGCCCTTACACGTGACAAGGTTACTAAGCATTTGAATGTTTCTAGTTTTGCTGTTCTTCTTCTTGTTGTTGTTGTTGCTTTTAGATCTAGCCACCTGCCACTCTTTGTCCAAATGAACCCACTCCAGTCTGACTGGAGCTACGCTGGTTTAAAAGGGATTATTCCGTCTGTGCTTCACTACAGTCTTCTTGGTTACAACTTTTTCATTCCAGATGCAATAGGTAAATATTACTTTATGGCCTCTTCCTTTCACAGGTCAGAATCTGTTTTATCAAGCTTTCGCCTCCTCTGTTGCTGCAGAAAGAAGAACGTACACAATCTGCTTGCCTGTTCAGCAACATCCTTAACCACACCAAGCGCAAGTTTAGAAACATCGGCATTTGAAGCTCCTGTTGAATACCACACTGAGTTTATTTAAGATTCTGTTAACAGGGATTAGTTGACACATTTAAAAATAAAACAGTCTGCTTCTCCAAAGTTAGATTTTAAAAGCTTTTAAGATGCAAACAGATACCCCAACGATCCATTTTATTAGGAAAAAACAGGGATCTCAAAGATGCAAATAATTTGCTGCTTAGATCCAATCCATCCCAGTCTGTAAGATAAGACTGTTTTGCAGCATTAAACTACTGTTTATGGCCTTAATACAGACAGCAGGCTGAGGGCTTTGGACTGCTTCCCCAGCAGCCATCAGTTTGCATAGTTTGGTTCTAGCTGCAACAACAGGTTTATTGTATTAGTGCAGCATTTAGGATATGGCAAGGGATTTAGCATCCTGAACACACACACACACACACACACACACACACACACACACACACCTTAAAAAAAAGAAACCAGTCTTCTGTCCTTCATAACTGTGGAGAAAGTTTGAATATATACTGGCAGTTACAGGAGCCTGAGCATCTTCAGAGATACTAAAATTGCGCTCAGCAGTACTATTTGCAAAGTAACTAATTGATAGACTTGCCAAGTCCCCCCGGGGGGCGGGGAAAACCCCGCCCTGAGGCCCGTTCTCCACCGCTGGCGGATCGGGCCCCGGGGGGAGCTCCATCCCGACATGTGCGTCACTCGGAAGTGACGCGACCATGCCGGGCATGCTGGGGGCGGGGCCACGGTCATCCGAGGGAAAACTCTATAGTTTTCCCTCGGATGGTTGTGGCCCCACCTCCAGCATTCCCAGCGTCGTCACGTCACTTCCGGGTGGTGCGCGCGCTCCAGCCACAAGCCGGGAGTCCCCCGCTGCGGCACAACGCCGGACTTGGCAACCCTACTAATTGATGTCATGTTACAGTTCACCCTAAGTGCACATATACATGTATATGGTGTGTGTCTGTATTCTACAAGCCTGAGAGCAATCAGGGCAAGGGACAACCACGAAAGTTCCTAGAAGTGATGCACCCTCTGGGAATCTGGTTGGTTGATCAGAATATCCTCTTTGGGTACCAACAGCACTTGACTGATTCTTTAAGAAGTATACACTCTGTCCTTGTAAGTCATTGTCCGCATGCTCTTTACATTCTGATTTCTGGCATGTAGTTGCTTCTAGGGACAGCCAGATCTCCCTGGATAGCGTGGGAATAAGAGGAATACTTATGATTTTTTTTAAAGAAATTGACAATCATTTTATCATAGCTGTACCAAAAGAGTGAAACACTCTTAAATGTGTCTTATTTTGAGACGGATGCAATGAACAACATGCAGTAGGTTCAAATTTCTTCAGTTCTGTCACAAACGGAAGCCCTGATTTATGAACCTAAGAAGAGTCCCGCTGGACCAGACCAGTGAGGGTCCATTTAGTCCAGCATCCTGTCTCACACAGTGGCCAACCAATTCCTCTGGAGGGCCAACGACATGGCCTAGAGGCTAGGGTTGCCAGGTATTACCAGCCTTCCAAAGGGGGGCTCCCGGGTCTGTGCCTGGATTTTCTGGTGTGTGCCAAGTGCGTGCACCACAATGACATCACCCAGAAGTGACGTCGTCATGCTGGGCATGTTGGCCAAAAATTCTATGATTGCCATAGAGTTTTTGGCCAAAATGCTAGAGCACTAATGTGAGACACGCCCAGCATGATGACATCATTTCCGGGTGACATCATTGCACCAACGACATCAATGCGGGAGGGGGCTGTTTGAGGGTTGGGCTTCCTCTGTGGCTGGCGGTGGATTGGAGCCCCCAAAATCGGGAGAACCCACACCCTGACCAGGGGTCTGGCAACCCTACTAGAGGCAGGGGCCTTCCCCTGGTAGGCTGTTATCTACATGCTTATTCATTTGCTCAAAGAATTCCAAAAGGTTGGTGAGGCAGGAGTTCCCTTTGCAGAAGCCATACAGATTTCGCCTCAACAGGCTTTATTAATCTGTGTCTAATAATTCTATGTCTGATTACAGTTTCTGCTAATTTGCCTGGAGCAGACATTAAACTACCTAGCCTGTAATTTCCTAGTTCCCCTCTGGAACCTTTTTTTTAAAAAAAAAATATATGATTGGAACATTTGCTGCTTTCCAGTCCTCTGATACAGTGGCTGGTTTTAGTTAAATTACATGTAGAGATTAACATATCAACAATTTTGCTTTTGAGTTCCCTAAGAAGTCTCAAGTATATGCCATCAGGACCTTTTTGGTTTTTAATTTCCCCAGTAGATCTAGAACTTAATCTCTCAGCCAGGGCTCTTTTTGTAGCAGGAACTCCTTTGCATCTTAGGCGACACACCCCTAATGTAGCCAATCCTCCAAGAGCTTACAGTGGCCCCTGTAAGAAGAATTCTGTATGCAGATTGGCCACATTAGGGGTGTGTCACCTAATATGCAAAGGAGTTCCTGCTACAAAAAGAGCCCTGAATCATCACCTTTATTTGACTCAGTTCTTTAGACTCTGTTCCTTAAGAGTCGCTGTGTCCAAAATGCCTTCTCCATAGTGTCATGGAATATACAGTGGTCACTGTATGTTTTCAGGTACCTAAACGACAAACCTGGGTCCACAATCCATTCACAGTTAAGCAAGTATCAATCTCATTTGTTTCAAAAGAAAAGAGTTAAGCAAGTGCTTAGCTTGTAAACACAACTCTCCCACTGAAATCAATGCAACTTACATTTGCTTGACTTCAGCTGGATAGTACCTCTGGATTTATAGGGGAATATACATTGATATTCATGCAGTTTTTCAGATCTGATTTGGTTCTACGCAATGTGCTGAACCCACCCATCCTTAACCATAAATGGGAAGGAGAAATTGTGTGACACTCTTCTCCCCCTTTGTCCCGGCAAAGATACACAGCTTCCTAGATACCATGGCGACATCACACACATGTCCAAATTCCCACCTACTCATTCTAAGAGTTATCTTAGTCTAACATGGAAATGCCTCTTGAAAATCATGTTAATAGTTTTTCGAAACAATTGCAATGAACCAGCAGAACTGGGTACAGAATCTTGGTTTCTGTACTGAGAAGATAAAGCCAATGTGTTCCTTGTTACCACAAAGGGCTGTCACTTACGATAAAACACAAGACTGTTATCAGAACAAAATATTCTGTTTTGGAAAGCAATTTCAATTTCAGCATCATCATTATTAATTAAATTTCTACACCACCACCAATGTTCCCTCTAAGCTGTGGGGTCTTGTGAGCAAAGATTGTACTTTGTGAGTTACTGGCATTAAAGTTGTGAGCGAACGATTTGGCTTCTGCATAAATTAGTTTGCTCTGGAGCCACCCTTCCTGAGCTAAGACAAAAATGTGTGAGCTGGAGGCTAAAAAACTGTGAGCTAGCTCACACTAACTCAGCTTAGAGGGAACACTGACCCCCACCCCCACGAATGGGCTCAGGGCGGCTCACAAACAAGGGCTCACAAGCAAGACCTGCATCACATACCCTGCCAGCCAGTATCTAGTATTTCACAGGGAAATCTGTCTGCTCCCATTTACAGTGGGTATTCCTTACAAAATAGTTAACATTACTTGGTTCTCTCTATCACTTTTCTGTTCTGATAAAAATAAACAGCATTAATATCACCATCCACCTTACAGATGCACCAAACTAGATAAAGGGGTTAGATTAAAAAAAAGTTAAATGCCAAAAAAATAATCAGAGTAGGATGCATTGCATGCAACACCACTGCTGAATCTAGAAGACAGCGGCATTCAGTGTCTGAACTCTTTTCTATTTCTAGCAACATCGGTGGCTTTAGAATTATTAGGGTTGTATTTGAATATGGGTAGATTGTAAAGTTGTATCGGTCCTATGCAAGGCTCCAGAAGTTTCAAGATTATATCAAGATTATGGTTGCTAAAGCAGCTTTCCAAACATTCAGAAAAGTCAGTAGCCCACAACATTTTTTAGCCCACTAGAAAAACTGTTATTTTTGTTAGTCAATTGTAACCTAAGAGATTAAAAAAGAAGATACACTTAAAAAACCTCCCCACCATCTGATTGCCTGGAAGCAATGCTCCCTCTAAGCTGTGGAGTCTTGTGAGCAAAAATTCTACTTTGTGAGCAACTGGCATTTAAAGTCATGAGTGGGCGATTTGGTTACTGCATAGATTAGTTTGCTCTGGAGCCATCTTTCCTGAGCGAAGACAAAAATGTGTGAGTCGGAGGCTAAAAAAACTGTGAGCTGGCTCACACTAACTCAGCTTAGAGGGAACACTGCCTGGAAGTAACTATGGACAGAGGTTCGTGACATCGTACAGGAGGCAGCAATCACCACCATCCCAAAGAAAAAGAAATGTAAGAAAGCAAAGTGGCTTTCTGATGAGGCTTTACAAATAGCAGAGGAAAGAAGGAAAGCGAAAGGCAAAGGCGAAAAGGAAAGATTTACCCAACTGAACGCAGATTTCCAGAGAACAGCAAGGAGAGATAAGGAGGCCTTCCTGAATGAACAGTGCAAAGTAATAGAAGAAAACAATAGAATGGGAAGGACTAGAGATCTCTTCAAGAAAATTGGAGAAATCAAGGGAGCGTTCCATGCAAAGCTGGCCATGATAAAGGACAAAAACGGTAGGGACCTAACAGAAGCAGAAGAGATTAGGAAAAGATGGCAAGAATACACAGAAGAACTATACAAGAAAGACCTCGATGTCCTTGACAACCACGACGGTATAATCACTGACCTCGAGCCAGACATCCTGGAATGTGAAGTTAAATGGGCCTTAGAAAGCATTACTAACAACAAAGCTAGTGGAGGTGATGGTATTCCAGCTGAGCTATTCAAAGTCTTAGAAGATGATGCTGTTAAAGTTCTGCACTCCATTTGCCAGCAAATTTGGAAAACGCAACAGTGGCCACAGGATTGGAAAAGATCAGTATACATTCCAATCCCAAAGAAGGGCAATGCCAAGGAATGTTCAAACTATCGCACAATTGCACTCATATCACACGCTAGCAAGGTCATGCTCAAGATCCTACAAGCTAGGCTTCAACAGTACGTGGATAGAGAACTACCAGAAGTACAAGCTGGGTTTCGAAGAGGTAGAGGAACTAGAGATCAAATTGCCAACATTCGCTGGATTATGGAGAAAGCAAGAGAGTACCAGAAAAATATCTACTTCTGCTTCATTGACTATGCTAAAGCTTTTGACTGTGTGGATCACAACAAACTATGGCAGGTCCTTAAAGAGATGGGAGTACCAGACCACCTCACATGTCTCTTGAGAAACCTGTATAAGGGCCAAGAAGCGACAGTTAGAACCGGATATGGAACAACTGATTGGTTTAGCATAGGAAAAGGAGTACGACAAGGATGTATATTGTCGCCTTGCTTATTTAATATATATGCAGAGTACATCATGCGAAATGCTGGCCTGGATGAATCACAAGCGGGAATTAAGATTGCTGGGGAAAAGATCAACAACCTCAGATATGCAGACGATACCACTCTGATGGCAGAAAGTGAAGAGGACCTCAAGAGCCTCTTGCTCAGGGTAAAAGAGGAGAGCGCAAAAGTGGGCTTGAAGCTCAACATCAAAAAAACTAAGATCATGGCATCCGGCCCCATCACTCCTTGGCAAATAGAAGGGGAAGTCGTGGAAGTAGTGACAGACTTCACGTTCCTGGGATCCCAGATCACCGCAGACTGTGACAGCAGCCATGAAATTAAAAGATTTCCTTGGGAGGAAAGTGATGGCGAACCTAAACAGCATGATAAAAAGTAGAGACATCACCCTGCCAACAAAAGTCCGCATGGTCAAAGCAATGGTATTCCCAGTAGTCATGTATGGCTGTGAGAGTTGGACTATAAGGAAGGCCGAGCGCCGAAGAATAGATTCTTTTGAACTATGGTGCTGGAGGAGACTCTTGAGAGTCCCTTGGACTGCAAGAAGAACAAATCAGTCAATCCTCAAAGAAATCAACCCTGACTGTTCCCTGGAAGGCCAGATAATGAAACTGAAGCTCAAATACTTTGGCCACCAAATGAGAAGGGAGCACTCACTGGAGAAGACCCTGATGCTGGGAAAGATTGAAGGTCAAAGAAGACGGGGACGGCAAAGGATGAGATGGTTAGACAGTGTCACCGATGCAACGAACATGAAATTGAGCAAACTTCAGAGGACGGCGGAAGACAGGAGGGCCTGACGCGATCTGGTCCATGGGGTGGCGAAGAGTCGGACTCGACTGTGCGACTGAACAACAAAATATTTGTCCAGGGCTTTTTTTGTAGAAAAAGCCCAGCAAACTCATTAGCATAAGAGGCCACACCCAGCAGCAGAACTGAGGCTCTGGGGTCTTGTCTTGCTCTTGATGAAATCACAAATAAAGTTGAGCTGATAACTAGACTTGAGCCTGCTCATCCGTGGAACCCACTATTGAACAATGTTCCTGCACAGATGCTATGAAGAACCCCCTTCTCCATCACGCAGGCATTTCCCCCTCGCCTCACGTAGTAACATCACCAGAAGAAGCACGCATTCCTCTCCAGCCTAAAACAAAAAAGGATGTGCCTGATTATGACAATAGCAAGCCATCAGGTTTTCCAGCGGCCCATCAAGATAACGCAGCTGTCAAGCATCTGGTCGTTAACCCAAAGTTCCAGTCCTGCAACCTCTTCCTTCTTTCCTTTGTCCACCCGTTTTCCTAAGAGGTGTTACTCCTAGCCAAGCCATTACCTGCAATTGCCCAGCCATTAATCCCCTTTCTGCCCCATTCATAGATTTACGTTTTCTTAATATCTCCTGGGGACCAGGTGACCAAAGCAGCCCTGCCTCAGGGCACATTTTTGCGTATAAAAGAAGAGCTTTATGCCATTGCTTTCTCTCTTGCTTTTGCCTCTCCTAACTGCTGGTTCCATTCCTAGCACTGTTTGGAACTTCCCACGTGTGTTGCTGGTCAACCCACGACCCCCTTCCCTTATTTTATCCCCTTTTCACTGCAGAAACAACTCATCTCACCGGACAAGTACAGTATCACCCCACCAACGATACTACCTGCTAATGCAGACATCTGTGTACTTTTCTGTCTGAATTCTTAGCTCTGTATTGTGTGTGTATGCTTGTTTTTATATTTGTATGTTTGAGAATCCTTTAGTAAAGAAATCACTACTTTAGTAATCTAGCCTCAGCATCTATTCCTGGGGACTGGGATTTCAAATTCTGGTATACAAATTTATGGTCCTATAATTAATGCCTATTGTCATTTAATAATTCACAATTCCCCACATTTATTAATAAAATAGGGCAATTTGGCTAACAGCTTCTTGCCTCTCTTATCTGTTTTCTTTCTCCATCTTACATTCAAGTTGTTCAGTGGTCTGTCCCTCCAACCATTCTCTTTCATTTCCTTTTATATTTCCAATCTTTCCTATCTTTATATGTTCTTGGGATCTTCTTTTTTCCTGCCATCCATCCATCCTTACCTTTTTCCTTTTTAAAAAAGCTTCCAAAATCTTTGCTCTTCTTTCCTGATTTTTCATTAGGGAGAGTCAGCATTGCTTTTTAAACCCTAGACATTTGAAAACTAGCTTTTGACAATCTCCCTCCCTCTTTTTTTTCCTTATTTGCACGTTAGATTGTAACCAATGTTCCCTCTAAGCTGTGGAGTCTCGTGAGCAAAAATTCTACTTTGTGAGCTACTGGCATTAAAGTTGTGAGCAAGCAATTTGGCTCCTGCATAAATTAGTTTGCTCTGGAGCCATCCTTCCTGAGCTGAGACAAAAATGTGTGAGCCAGAGGCTAAAAAACTGTGAGCTAGCTCACTCTAACTCAGCTTAGAGGAACACTGAAATTTGTAACCCTACTAGTAGATGCCTGCTATATGTAGCTGGACAGACCGCAACCTCTGTGCAGTTCATATTTGCTTAGCTATTCTGAGTCTACTTACTCCCTCTGTTTTCATACCCTTCCTAGTGTGTCTATTAATCACTGCATCAGGATTTATTATCTGGATATCTTTCTTCTCTCTTTCAGAGGACATAAATCAAGCTATTTTTCTATTACATTTTCAGTTTGTTGAGATAATGTGCTAAACTTTCTTTCCTTCAGGTACTAAATCTCACCAGGCACTACATAAACAAACATCTGGATTTTGTGGTGCCTCTCCTTCTAAAATATAGCAAGGAATGGCTGTCTTTGGGATATCCTGTTTTTCGACCTGTCTGGTGGCTCAGCCCCACTGAATCAGTCAGCTTTACAATTGATGATGAATTTCTTATAGGAGATGAGGTAAGAAATAAATTCTACCCCAGAATGTTTTAATTTCAAGGGCCAGTAACAGAGATTGCTTATTTTTTTTTGTAGTAGGAACTCCTTTGCATATTAGGCAACAGACCCCCTAATGTAGCCAATCCTCCAAGAGCTTACAGTAGCCCCTGTAAGAAGAGCTCTGTATGTAACCCTTTTAGGTTCCTGTACACAAGTTACATCCAAACAAGTAGTAAAATCACACACTGCTTCATGGTTTGATTAAGAATATAGGAATATAAAAGCCCATTTATGTTCCATTTACTGCAAATTTCATCATTCTGCAGCTACCTGCTTGCCAGCGAAGTACCAGATACTCAAAAATTATTTACATCATCTTATAAAGACTAACAGGTTGACCTTTATCAATAAACAGTGGCAACAACTTCTCGGTGCTATTATCCAGAATGAAAACAGGCAGTTCTGGGCCATAATTAATGGTGCTACTTGTTCTGAGACACCCTTTATATCAGCTATCACACCTGATACATGGTTCTAATTTCATGGCTGCAGTCACAGTCACCATGGTAAATAAGACTGGCCAAATGCCAGCCGCTTGGACCAACGCAATAATTGTTCCCATCTACAAAAACGGTTGTCATCTTAATCCCTCTAATTTTAGACTAATTAGTCTTTTATCTGTCATTGGGAAACTCTATGCTAAATTTTTGCAAATCAAGCCCAGCACCTGGATGACATTTAGTAAAATTTTAGGACCAGAACAGGTGGGTTTCTGCCAGGGGAAGTCAGCTCTGGACCACTGTTTAGTCCTCGCTCATTTGATCAATAAGTACGTAAGAAGGAAAAGGTCTAAACTGTATATTGCCTTTTTGGACCTTAAGGGGGCCTTTGATTCTGTTTCAAGGGAACTTCTCTGGGTAAAGCTTGAGGGGATGTCTTTGGATAAGAGGTTATTATTTATTATCAAAAGACTTCACACCTCCACATCCTGTCAGGTCAGGTGTTCTTCATCTGGGAGACTTTCCCCTAAGATCTGTATTAGGAATGGGGTAAAGCAGGGGTGCATTTTAGCCCCCCATCTGTTTAAACTTTTTTTAAATGACCTTGCCCCTTTTTTGTCATTCGTTGATGGCCATAGCCCTAGTCTTGGCTCTTCTCTTATTCCCTTGCTATTATATGCAGATGACACGGTTCTTTTGTCTACTTCTCGTGTTGGATTAAACCGTGTACTGAACTGTTGCCATGGATATTGTGTGATTAACAGATTGGAGTTGAATTATGAAAAATCAAAGGTAGTAGTCGTTCCCTATTCCCGAAAATCTTATAACTGGATTATTAATGGCAACAAACTTGAACAGGTTAAGCACTTCAAATATCTGGGCATTTATTTCTAATCCAATGCACCAATTGCTCTGCTTCTGCCAGAGGGAACACAGGAATGATGGTGATTTATGTGACATTTTCAATAGCTTTCTAACAGCCCTACAATGTTCACAGTTAGGTTTAGAATACATTAGCAAATCAACACCTTCCTATAAAAATATAACATTTGAGGCTTTCCATTTAATAACATTCTAGATACCATTTTTCACGTTCCTCATTTCCTCTCCCGTTCCCTTAATTTTTCTTGAATCTGGACATACCATAATCCTTACAGAAAATCTACCACACACCTGTTTGCTACCTACAATATGTCATATAACAAACTGGATGCTGGGAGGGCCTAGTGTGTTTGTTGTTGTTCAGTCACACAGTCGAGTCCGACTCTTCGCGACCCCATGGACCAGATCACGCCAGGCCTTCCTGCCTTCCGCCGTCCTCTGAAGTTGGCTCAATTTCATGTTCGTTGCATCGATGACACTGTCTAACCATCTCATCCTTTGCCGTCCCCGTCTTCTTTGACCTTCAGTCATTCCCAGCATCAGGGTCTTCTCCAGGGAGGGCTCCCTTCTCATTGGGTGGCCAAAGTATTTGAGCTTCAGTTTCATTATCTGGCCTTCCAGGGAACAGTCAGGGTTGATTTCTTTTAGGATGGACTGATTTGATCTCCTTGCAGTCCAAGGGACTCTCAAGAGTCTTCTCCAGCACCATAGTTCAAAAGAATCTATTCTTCGGCGCTCGGCCTTCCTTATAGTCCAACTTTCACAGCCATACGTGACTACTGGGAATACCATTGCTTTGACCATGCGGACTTTTGTTGGCAGGGTGATGTCTCTACTTTTTATCATGCTGTTTAGGTCATTGAGGACTCAGTGTTTTACATGGTGCTGCTTGGTTCATTATTGTAGGGCTTACTGCATCCTTTCTGAAGCTTCTCTTTTTGCTTAAGAGGAAAGCAGTCTTTATAAATAAAATCCAAAACCAATGAAATGAGGAATACAATAAAAATAGGTTCTACTGATTCAATATCCACAGATCAAAGTGATTTCATGTGTGGATTTCAGTGCCCAGTGCATTCGTAATGGCAGCTCGGATAAAATGTTGATGTACTTGTGGTTGTGAATTTTAGTGGGGAAAACTCTATCAAATATGATATACAGTGCTATCGACTTCAGTGGCCAGAAGGGAGTAACTCTGCTTAGGATAACAGTCACTTAACCATGGCTTCATAAAAGAAAAATAGATGAAACATTAATGGTGTAGAATATTCTTCAGCAGATCAAAACTTTTCTCAAGTGGTCAACAGCAGTTGGCATGTAAATATATATATATATATATGATTAGGAAGGGGGAATCTTTCCCATATCACTTCCCAGGTATAAATCATCCATAGAGCTGCAATGAGTTCTGCAGGAGGAAAAAGTACAAGTGTTGCCTTGGATTTAAAAAATGCAGGAAATCTGAACTGCAGATCTCCCACATTACTGTTAGTTTTGCCCTTAGAAATGTCTGCTATGGAGAATATTTCCTTTATAGATTTTAAACTCAGATTGCCATGTTTCTGTTAAAGCATGACAAGCTTATTGCATAAAAAATGTCAAGACTGGCACTGAAAAAGAATTCAGCATTGAACCAATATATATTAGGGTATGGTAGGAAAACACAGGGCATTTGGCTCAAAGAATCACTGAGCCTAGCAGATCACGCAGCCCTTGGCTCAATGGACTGATTTGTGTGTGTGTGTGACAGGGTGTGTAAAGTGCCATCAAGTTGCGGCTGACTTATGGCGACATGAGCAAGGCAAGGGAAAAGGCAAGTGAAAAGCAGAGATGGTTTGCTATCGTCTTCCTCTGCAGAGTCTTTCTTGACAGTCTCCCTTCCAAGTACTGTCCCTGTTTAGCTTCCAAGATCTGACAAGATTGGACTATACCATGCTGGACTGATTCATACATGCATGTTTATCACTTGATGACTGTACCATAAAGAGGTGATGTACCTGTGAGAAAGAGCTACTGCAGATCCAACATCATAGGCATACCTTTCTTTGGTGTAGTGGTTTGGTGTAGTGGTTCCTTTGGTGTAGTGGTTAAGTGCGTGGACTCTAATCTGGGAGAACCGGGTTTGATTCCCCACTCCTTCACTTGCACCTGGCTGGATGACCTTGGGCATGCCGTGGTTCTGATAAGAGCTGTCCTTGAAAAAGAACAGTTTCTGTCAGAACTCTCTCAGCCCCACCTACCTGTCTGTTGTGGGAAGGGGAAGGGAAAGGAGTTAGCATAACATATTCGCATAATGTATTTGCATATGCCACACCCCCTGACATCACCGGAAGTGTGTCAGAAAGCCACACCTACCGCTCAGACTCCACTGGATTGTTTTGGATTGCTAGCTATGGGGGGCGGGAATGTGCAGATCTGCCCTCACAGAGGAAGGAGAGCTTGTACCTGAATAAAACTTGGTTTTAAAGGTGCCACTGGACTGTTTGGGATTGCTAGCTATGGGGGGGGGGAACACGCAGATCTGCCCTCACAGAGGAGGGAGAGCTTGTACCTGAAGG